GACTCGTACATCCGTAATGAACATCAGCATCGATGAATGCGGATATGGATACGGATACTTTAATTTATACAGATTATCCACGGATGCGGAAGCTGACATACGCAACAACCCTGATTGTAACTATCTTTAGTTTAAAAACTCGACGCAACGTTGGCGACGCGGTTTTTTTGTTTAGTTGATTTGACAGAAGTTAATGCGCGAATATGAGTGCCAATGATACTACACACATCGTCACAATTAGCGCCATCCTCAAATATAGCAGTATTTCTACAAAAGGTTCTATTTTAGGTCTAATTTGAAAATGAAGTGGTTGGAGGTTGGTTTTGCTTTGTTGCAAATTTCGTAAAAGCTCTGTTGGAAAAGGTTCTTTTTTATAATAGTGAAAGAGCGCGCTTGCCAACAAACTGTTTCCAGTCTCCTGTAAAATGTATAAACTTTTGAAAAAATAATTAAAAAAAATTTTTTTTTTATATTTCAGCCCTTTCCGCTTTGTCACTAAACCTAAAAACGGAACGCCAGTTCCAAAATTGCATAATATAAATTTTTTTTTTAGTTTAGGTTGTTTACTGCTGAAAATGCAAGGTCATCATGAATGCCTCCAAATGTGCACCATGGCGCACGGTTCTCAGCTAGTCACATCCATCTGCTGCCACCAGCCTTTCGCAGCTCGTCACTCCATCTGGCCAGAGCGCGTCCTACACTACGTTCGCCGAGCCGTGGTCTCCACTCAAGAACACGCTACCCCCATCGGTTATCGGTTCTTCGACAGATACGGCCAGTCCACTGCCACTTCCTCTTGCTTATACACCAGCTTTATCGACGACCTTGGTCCTTTGTCGGATAATGTCTTTTCAAACCTTCTCCTTCACAGAAATTCCGAGCATAGCACGTTCCATAGTTCGCAGAGCGATTTTTAACTGGTGGACTAGCCGTATCTTGAGAGACCACGTCTCGGGTTGAAAACGTTTTGTTTTCAAAATTCGTGATAAAAAAAAATGCAAGGTGGCTCGAATTATATGTCGGCTAGTGTACGTTGCTTAATTAAAATTATTGACACTGGTTTTTCGGATTGACGTTTTCACGGCGTGTCAAGTCATAGTTTACTTAAACACGTATAAGAATAACACTTTCTTTAAAACGAGATATCTATGAAAAACTTCGGTTTGAATATTTTTCATTCATTCGTCCATGTCGTTTTTGTATTTAGTAAATAAGTATATAAATTAAGTAAGTGAAATTATCAGCAAATTATGAACAGTAAGTAGATACGTAGATATTTCTTGTTACTTTACAATGATGTGTCAACATAAGTAGGATTAAAATCTGGTACCGAACTTTATAATATCATATTTAATTTTTAACCGACTTCAAAAAAGGAGGAGGTTCTCAATTCGATTGTATGTTCTTTTTTTTTGTATGTATGTTACGCGATAACTCCGGTATTTGTGAACCGATTTTCATGATTCTTTTTTTGTTGGAAAGGGGGTACTTCCATAGTGGGCCCATTTGATTTTGAAGAAAATCATCCACCTCGAAGGGTGGCTGTTCACGCATGAAGATTCATTTTTATAAATAGCGCCTAACTTTAATTTAGGAGCAATTACTTTAATGGTTGATTTTGCTATTTCTCCAATTCAAGGCGTTTTTCTCTCAATATACTTCGAGTAATGAGAACCGATTTTTATTATCTCCAGTGTCAAGTCCTGCATAGTGGCGAACTAGGGGATATTTCACTACTTTTGATTTCATTTACTTTTGAGGTCGGTTTTTTTAGTACTCTGTACTGAGATTATTGTCAATGTAATTGGTTTGTTATCTGTTTTTTTGTCCATATAATAAATAAATAAACAGTCATTTCATTTTTGTCTATCAACAGTTACGTTGGTAATTCAAAAACGTGGACGTGATTGGTCATTTTGTAATGCCACAAAGCAGTTATATTTGCAACAAAGATTCAATGACAAAGAAACATTTTCATTAATTTCGTTCTTAGAGCTTCTAGCACCTGTACAGCCAAGCGTTGCGTGCGCGAACGGGCTTCTTTAAAACAAGAGTCTATTTGTGTTCCACAATATACGAATTTTGGTAATTCAAAATTTCTTGCTAACCTTGTCTCCCTCCTGATTCTATTGTCACGTGTGGTATTGTCTTCGCATTTCACATCATATATAAGCTACAGAGCTTGTATCAAAGTTGTTCTATCAGTGGATTATATTATCAACTCCTCCACATAACCTTTTGTAAGCCACAAATAATGTAGCAACTATCGAGCAAATATCTTCGTATTTTTTTAAGGTATAACAAACAATTGCACATAGTATGAATACATTCGCAAATTTTATGATAATCGAGATAATATTTTATGATAGTCGAGAATTCCAAAAAAAAGGACACCTACGACAGACATCACAAGATTGGAGAGAGACTGATACATTGCACGTTCAAAACAATACCGTCCCTAAACGAAAATCTCGCTTTTTCTAATTTGAACTTGTTTTCATTAACATTACGAAGGTTGGCTTTTTAGTTTAGTGACAGTATTGGTTTTGAAGTGTGATATTCAAATGTGAGCACTTATTGAGAGACTCGCCGCACTTATCGACGCGGAAATGCTTTAGGCCAGTCAAAAGCATTAAATCCGTGCAACAAGAGCGAAAACGACACAGGCCAGAAACACATCGTCTTCCTGCGAATTTCCGATCGCGACCGTGCGGGCTCGACGACGGCTGACTCATGAGACAAAATGTGCTCGGTTTAAGTCTGTTCCACGTCGATAACGGTGGTCACATCCTAAAGCCCGGAACCCACTGACGGGACGGCAAGGGATTTTTAGGTGACGAATCGTAATATATCTTAAGATTATGACATTATAGTTGCAATTTCAATGATAATGGTGTTGTTGCAAGATAAAACTGCGGTATGCTTAGGAATGCCGAGCCGACAGCGTCCAGAATGCCTCGGCAACCTTGGTAGACTTCGGGACGCCGAATGTGATAATGTGGGTATGCGGGGCGAGGGGAGACACGAACGGTAAAATGCTTCGGCATGCCTAAGGATGCTTCAGCACGCTTAAGGATGCCGTGAAATAATTGCCGTCATTCTGCGCTTACATGTAGAGATGCCGAAGGCTTCCCTGCCTTCCCGTCCTATAAGTGGGCGCCGAGCCTAATGTCATTAGATTTAGTACACTTAGACCCGGCGCCCAATGACGACAGGGAATTTGTAATTGACCAATAGTAACAACCTTAACACTATGACATTTTAATTGAAGCTTCAATTATAATGGCCTTTACAAAAATAAGGCTACGGTAAACTCAAGGATATCGAACCGGAAGCCTCCAGACGCCTCGACAGCTTTTGGGATGCTCTCGGCAGGCTTCCAAATCTTATTCACCCAAAAACTTCTCTTTCATGGAATATAGTTCTCTTCTTTCTCTTCAGCAAGACTACCATTTTTAAATATACAACTGGTAATAAATCAACATGCAAGGTTGCGACTGATATGGAGAGAAGTCAAGAGCAAGTACGACGTCGCGATGGTATGCTTCGGCATGCCTAAGGATACCGTAGGATTGCCGGGGGATCCCTTGTAATACCGTTCCGTCAATGGGCGCCGAGCCGAAGGTAGTTCAGAAAATGGGTCATTTAGTTATTATACAAAATAAATCACGACTCATCGTCGGTTCCGTTCTCCACCTTCACTTTCGGATTAGGATTTTTCGCTTTACTAGATCCTTCATAGTACAATGATACAATCGAGTGCTTCTTACAGAAAGCCCACCACCATCTGAAGCCAGTTAAACCGATAAAAATGAAACCGGGATCTCTGTTTCTTCTTAATTTCTCTACAAAAGCCAGGATTTCGACAAGAGACTTTTTCGTTCGCCTGTTATATGGAGACAGGCTTGTTTCGCAACAGAAATCTAAAATGGCCCGCTCCTCGCTGGCTGAAAGACCAGCTTCGTCCAAGACAGCCATTCGTTTGGATTTACCCAGTATATTGTCGTATAACGTCCCTTTAGGTATTCCATAGTGCGTGGCGGCTTGCGTGAATCGCATCTTTTGTGTGACGACAGCCTGAATAGCGTCCTGCAGCTGGCTCTGCGTCCACGTCGGCGCTTTCAACTTGAGGGCATGACCGTGGTATTCTGATCGACAGATAAAAGCAAATACTCTACGTAAAACTAAGCACAGGTAGCAATCCGTACAAATAATGCAATCCACATTGATTGATGTGACGCGTAGTTTGTGTTTCGCATTAAATTAACTGTCATGAAACAAGGGAGCAGTTGTAAGCAGCGCGCGGACAACTTGTTTCAATAAGGTACAACACACACACTTCCTTTCGGTTCAATGCAGACAATAAAATTTTAGACGTTACTCAATGTGTGTTGTAACTAATAATAGAGGTTCCGACGAGTTTTCCCGGCCGCGTAATCTTCCCACGATGTAGCGACAATAATCAACCGCTACATATTACAATACTTATCGCGTCGGAATATGAATAATGTAATGAATGTACTGCATCATTATTGGTACGTATTACGTTGTGTTGTGACAGACAAGCGTGCATGTTACATGATCGCAAACGGAAAGTAGAAAAGAACAGCAGTTTAAGTGTGGCAAATCGTTACTTTGCGAAAACATTGACGCAACAAGGATTTTTATCATCCACGGCTTTCTCAATCGGCTACCACGCGCCGGGACGTGTTTATTCACATTATCAAGCACGGTAAATAATATCTATTTTGTTAACTTATCTTTTGCGTTAACTATAACGCAAACAGCCTACTAAGGCAAACGTTTAATCTCAACTAATTCTGTATTAGTTTTTGCATTAATTCAGATAAAATTGTACAAAGCCCCGACGCGATATTTGTTTTCGAGTTGGTGGTCGGTTAAGGTAATCCTTATCAGGTCAATGTATTCATAAACTACGTCGTTGCATGTATTATTGTATTTCCAAGATTAAATATGAATTTCAATAATAATATACAGACCTGCAATCGAAGATGTCGAAGCGCCGAGCCAAGCATGAGAGTTCTCGAGCAGCTTAGCCTGTAGAAAAGAAAAGACCTTTGTAATTTTAATCATCTCCGAATAACAAAAACATTTAAAATTAAAAAACAATAAACGGCGAAACAAGGTTGAGGGAACGTTTTTGTAATATTGAAGTTAAAAATTCGTAGCGAGACAAAAAACCGCAGGACATTTTATTTTTTAAATATGTCGTGTTGTCAGTTGAGCGCGGCAAAAAAGTTGGCGTTTGCAGCGACATCTTGCGGCAGCGGTTGCCGACAGCTATAAAAACAATACGTATCCAATTTTACAATCGTTTTTAGTGCAGTATACATTTTGGATGGGACCACTTCCATAGATGCTTACGATGTACAAAAATCGCATCACTTCTACGAAAGAGATGCCACTCGTCAACTCAGATAGTCTTTGGGTCTAATAACTATGTTTTAAGAAGGAATTCGACGAATTGTGTGTGTGTGTGTGTATCTCTCTCTATCTCTCTCATACTGAAGTACCCTCTTTCCAAACAAAAATAATCATCAAAATCGGATCACAAATGTGTTATAGCGTAACATACAAAAAATACAGTCGAATGGAGAACTTCCTCCTTTTTTGAAGTCGGTTAAAATTAGAAGTAAATATGTTACAAACGCATTATACGTTATATTGAAATTATATGCGGCATACGCTGTGCGTAGAATACATGAGCTTACCGATGTTGCTACTGCTAGACTAGTTTACTTTAGTTACTTCCATAGTATAATGTCCTACGCAATTCTCACGTGGGGTAAAGCGGCAGATATACAAACCATATTTGTGTTGCAAAAACGAGCGATTCGTTCTGTGTACCGTTTAGGTTCTCGGATTCCTCTCAGAGAAAAGTTTAAGGAGTCTGGTATAATGACTGTGGCATCGCAGTACGTGTACTCAAGTATTTTGTATGCCCGTCAAAATATACATAATTTTATTAAGAATGAAGACATCCATAATATTAACCTTAGAACTAAGTCCAAATTCATGGCACCACGATTTCGTTTAACTAAGAGGAACTGTATACGTTTTACAATAAGATTCCGCAACATGTATTAAGATTACCATTTCCTAAGTTTACAAGTATTTTAATTGAAAAGTCATATTACAAAACTGTAGTTACTACGTGTTAAATAAAGATGTAGGGAATGACGACACGGCCCCAGAATCCACACAAATATGATTCAAAATGTATTTCATATAGTATTCAAGTTTATTTGAAAAGAGCCATCCCTAGAGTTTCTTCCTCGTTCTTCTCAGGGAGGTCAGCGTAGCGAATGAGCAGTAACTAAAACAATTACGTTTTCAAGTGTAAAAATTTTACTTATGGAATAAATGATTATTTGACTTTGTTTTTGACTTTATAGCTAATTTAGTAGGAGGTCTCTCTGTGAAAGAGTTAGTTCAGAGAACTCTCACCTTAGCTATTTCTGTCGCAAAGCAGTAATGGGAGCATTACTGCGCTCCAGTTTTGAAAGATGTCACGATTACAAGCACATGGGACTTTTCAACTTGTGTCTCAGGGGGACGGGCGAAGATCTGTGCCCCTCAGATATTTGCGCACGACACGAAAATAAAGCTAAAGTGGACATTATAATTATATATACATACATAAAACTGATCTAAGATAAACAGTAACGTGAAGCTCCACTAACAATCAACACGACATGAATTTTTTTCAAAGTATCTTAATCATTTGTAAACAGTTTCTGCGTAACATGGAAATATTTTAGGGTAATCTTTAAGGCTTGCTTAACAAAGGCAAAGTTGTTAAAGTGTACAATCTTGATATTTACACAGTGTTGCGACAACACGAACAAAGGACTCGAGGCAAGGCGGGTTTTGGTACGGGCTGTAGGTACACTCAACAAATTATAGCGGTCACATGAAACAAGGTAATATTCTTCATTAATTTACATTTCCCCATCTGAGAGGAAGTTTACGATTGCACATTTTATCGATCGCTACTGTATTTCACGCGTCGTAGGTACGTGCGCGTGCGCACGTTTATTTACGTTCGACACGTAATTGTACAGCAAAGAGCGGCATTTCTTTGTACTTTAACTAAAACTAAACTTTATCGAAGTTTTAATTGTGGACGCAGACAAAAGCCGGGCCGTAAAATGGATGTAATAACTCACTGTCCAATCTACAAATAAAATCTTTTATTAAGTCAGGCGACGCCGGGCACATTGCTATATGTGTTTACGGAACGCGCACGTGCTCTAAGTACCGAAACGCATATGTATTGTTTGTTTACTGGTATAAAACACTAAAATCCATTCAATAACAAAGAATTAAAGATCCCGAAATAAAATTTATTGCTCGGCTACGATAAAATAGATTTATGCCCGCGGCGCCCGCTTTACCGGCCTGCCACCGACTCGCGATAATATTATTAGGTACATTCGCACAACTCCTACTTAATGTATTCGCCATATACTTATCTAAACTCCGGCCACGAGTGACGCGACACGTGCAAATCGTTTATGAAGCGAACTGGATGACGCGCCAACAACGTTACCGGTCATATAATTTTTGCTGAAGCCAATTGACGTCATGTTAGTTGAAAGCTACTCTGTACAATGTATCGAATACATTATAGCGTGTATCTTTCTCAAAGCGTCGATACTTTGGCGTGAAAAGTCAAACCTCAAAAGTTTGCACGATGTGTTAAAAAATTTACAAACTTTTTTACTTCATTCTCCTAACTAGATATAGCAATTACGCGTAACTAGCATTTGATTATGAGTCTCCATTTCGGTAATTTAACAACCAAATTAGCGGGATTTACGGGAATCTACTGTTATCAATCCGTAGACAACATAAATTAATGTTCACTGTGAAAAAATGAATGTCGTAGCCATTGATACAACAAAGTAATAACGTTGAATCCTTCTCCTGTGAAAATTGGTTTGGTGCAGATACGCGCTTTTTACCAATACTACATACGCGGATTTGCACAATCCCTGACGATATAAACAGCTAAGTTACTTTTGTAAAAATTCTTATACGCCGATTCTTTCCTAAAGTATTGTCATTATATATTGTCATTACTAATGTCAAAGTGGTGGTAATGATGTAATGTAGTGGAATTGGTTATAATTCCTATTTTTAACTAAACGATAATCGATATATAATAATGAGAAAGGTGGCATCCTGCCTGCGCAGAGCGCGAGAGAACTCAAACGGTGTTCTCAAACTGCCTGCCTCTCAAAGTGATAGGTGGATAGGTTAGACTCTGATCTGTTTGCTAGGTTCACCGAATTTCCTGGACACTCGGTGATCTAAGCAAGTATTATGTAAACCCACTATTTAGCTATAATTATTAAATATCGAACCGCCAGGACTCCAACGTGCGACCACGGGATTCGGACACGACACACGTCGTGTTAATCGAGTCGGCAAAATTCTTCTACGTGTCTGTTATAGGTTGTGCATAAAGTTTTCGGCTTTCGACGCCGTAAGTGACGAAGACGAAAATATTTGACAGATTCAAATATTTTATGAACCTTCTCACTCCGCCGGTAACTTTACAGTTACCACAAGCTGATGTTGATGTCGCTTTTTATGAACATGTATTATTCGTTTTTATTTTTGTGAAGTAATTCTAGTAATTGGCTATAATTATTAACACGAATATTGAACACAAAGAAAAATTCTATCGACCCGCCAGGACTCGAGCCCGCGACCACTGAATTCCGTCCCTCGCTCTTCCAACTGAGCTACAGGTCGAATTAACCGAGTCGACGAAATTCCGTTATCTTTTCATTGAGTTTTCGACGTCATAAGCAAAGTATTACGTAGTATCTATAAATTTTGTACTAACAATACAATAAGATACATTTGTAAGTATTAAACACAGTAATTAAACACTGCCTCCGTGACCGGACGGTTACCATGCCGGCCTGTCACGCAGAGGTCCCGGGTTTGATTCCCGCGCCGGGGGATATATCTGTATGGCCTGCATTTATTTCTCTCGTGAGTTTGAGTTTCATTGCTCTCATAGATCAGAGTGTGTGCGTTAAAAAAGAAACAAAAATTGCCCGGTCTCATGCCCCTGTACTTTGAGTACCTACCAGAGTAAGGGTATTCACTCTGGGGAACTTCCCGGAACATTTAAACATACGAACTTGTAAGCAAAATTGAAACTTGAATTAAGCACATTCTACTTTTAATTTCTATTGCACTGAAGTGAGTTATTTCGTGATGCCTTATGAACGCAATATTGCCGTGACGTTGAGGTAATGGTCAGTAATCTGTTTCATAAGTACTTTGATCTGCCCTCCTTTATCGTCATCCCACCTTTTTATCACAACTGGTTACTGGTCTGGCCACTAACTTTTAACATTTGAAATCGTTCTCGAATTCCTTATCCTTCCATTATTCTTACGTTGGTTCGGGTCATCACTTCCTACAGAACTGCCGAAGGGCAAGAACGTGCTTATTAAGCATAGTGTAAAACTCAACGTAATTTAACTGTTTTTAAAGCATTGGACATAATATGTACGTACCTATATAGGTCCTCTGTGTAAGGGCCTGGACTTTATGGTGTATTATTAATGTTTGTACCTTTTTATATCATTGTATTATTTTTGTTACAGCCCTTCCCTTTTATTTTACTCTCTTTTTCTACTTCTAATAAATTTATATGGACCATTCTTTTACTTCCGCTATGGTTAGACTACAAAAGTAAATGAAATCAAGGATTTTCGTGTGTCAAGACAAGAGTGAAGAACACAAGAATAAAACGGATGAACCTATTGGGCAAAGACTGTTTTAGCAAAATGATTTGGAAGACCATAAGGCAAAGGTCACCAGCGGAGGCGTAGGTAAATGAACTTCGTTGCGTGTGTGCGGCAGTCAATTAAAATCAATTAGATTCAATAATTTTATTATTTGACTCATCTGCTCTTATAATAAAACACCAAGCGATGCGGCAGCTCGAATTTCATTGACTCAAGAGAACTGTACTTATGATAAAGATAAAGATAAATTTATATCAGCAT